CTCTAAGGCAGGGAAAGACACCAGCACTGAAGTGTAGGAGCAGTCTGGGGCCTGAACCAAAAGATCCTGAAACCACAAACAAGGTCCTGCCTTTTCCATATGAGACAATTTTTGAAAGGCAGCTAAGAGCCGAACAATGGATGGGAATACAGTCAGTGGTAGAGAGTGCTTGCCTAGCATGCACAAGGTCCTGGATCCAATCTGAGAGAGAGAGGTTGTTTTGAAAAAAATACAGAAACATACTTTACACAGAATTTCAGAGATTCAATACCAGCTGGTAGCCCATTTACAAAGCCTGGGTGAAAAGCCCCTACTCCCTTCTCAGCTGACTCCAATGCTGTCCTAAATGGAAGCAGAAGCCTCTGGCTATCACTCATGGAGCCCTACTCCCCACTCCATACCCCCAACACTAAGCAAGTGTGTAAAGTACAGTAAATTTGGGAGTCATTTTGTCTATAGTGCCAAAGTTTATGATAGAGAACACCCTTGAGCCCTCCATGTTTTACTCGTATTACCCCAAACACTGACTTCCCCCATTGGACAGTTTCTGGGAACCAGTCTTTATGCTGGTGCTCCTAGCCACCCCACAGTATTTTAGGAACACTCTGAGCCAGCTTCTCACCTGGACCAATGCACTTAAATAATGGTGTATGTGGCTGCCACCTGATATGCTACAGAGACCTTCTTTAGTTTCAAATATCTGAGCCCTACAAACGTCACGTGGAAGCTACCAGTTAAGCTCCTTTGTGTGGACCCCTTTTCCCCCCAGTCCAGACTAAGTAACTTGAAGGTAATGAACAAATTCCCTATTTCTTAGTTTTCAGCATTTTTCCAGATTAGTAAGTAGTAAGTGTTGTCTTACTGATTTGGATCTTGGTGTAACTACCATCATGAGAGTAGACAGCATGGGGTTGGAGGCAGGAATACGGCAAAGGATCCTGAGGCCCTGAGGGCAAACACTGCTAAGTGTACAATCCTGGTAAACGCTCTATAGGTTATGCACTACTGGTCATGAGCAAGACTGAAAAGGAAACTATCACACTGATATAGGCAGTACTGCAGGGGGGAGGGGGGCAAGTGCCGAATAAAAAAGATTTCCTCAGAAAAGCCTGAAGCTTGAAATAATCACAGCAAGTACTTTCAAATGCACGGGGCTGAGGTCCTGGAGCATTACGAATTACTTATTTGGTACCTTTGATTTCTAAACACTTTATACCATAGATTCCTAGAAACTATATAACACACACATATTACAAAGACAGAGAAATGGACGAACAGAATGATTTACACTGTAAGTAAATTAAATTGTTTTCATTTCATGGTTTTCATTCTTGTGAAAATGCCTAATCACCCCACACAAGCAACTAGTGATTGTGGAATATTGCTACTTCACATCTAGGAACACAGGGTGGTCCATGTTTTGGTTTAGCTTAATGAAGTCTACCTATTGCAGTAGACAGTTTTTTTCTACCAGGAAATAAAGAAAGGGGCACAAAACAGATTCAAACATTCCAAAGTTTACCAAGATTGGCAGCACTCTCCCTGGCAGAAAACAGAATCCCTCCTGCTGTAGCCTGAAGGCTCTTGTATAATTATCTAGAAAAGCAAATCTCCTTTCTAAAGGTTCAGGGGCTAGGGGTGTGTGGTGGTGGTGGGCTAATCCTTGGGAAGCCTCACTGGCTAGAGGCATTTCTGGGCTGGGAGTACTTCGATGACATACATACTAATTGTAATGATGAACTAGCACTCTGATTCTTATCAGCACTAATTTTCCTTGTTACTAGAGGGGCCGTTCTTACCCTCTCTGGGCCTTATCCACAAACATAAAACGTTTTACTAGATGGTTCCTATGATCACTTATAAAATAATCATAAGGCCCCACATAGAACTGAAACACCACCACCACCACCACCACCACCTGAAGCCACAGCATTCTTTTGAACTCTGTGAAAGCTGTGTGAATTAAAATTGAAATGCCTGAACTGATAGTGTAGTGTACCGATTCTCTACCATTCTACATTTTGGGTAATTCAGTGGAAAATGCTATCACATATTGAAGGAACATTTATTAGAAAATATGCTTCACCTGAGAAAACCATCTAGTATTATGTTTCCTTTGGATTTGGAAAGAGAGTTGAACCTTGATTTCAGTTTAGCAGGGATACAACTAAGTTCAGCTGGTGCAAGAAGGGAACGGTAGCTTGTAAACCTTAGATCCAGGTTCAGTTCCCCTTCCATCCTTGCCTGGCATCAGGTAACAGAAGTATTCTTGAAAGGTGCCTGGGCTTGGACTTTGATCCCTGCCTATCTAAGGATCTCTATACATTGATCTTAACCACTCTGCAAATCCCCACTCAAGAACATCCACACTTAAAACCCTGGCTGGTGGATGGGACCTCCAATCCACCAAAACTCAAGAGAGCTGACTAGATTATTTCTATCAAACCTGTTGGGCAGTCAACATTTTAAGAGCCAGCTCTTAATTATTACCTATCAATATATCCATTTGCTGAATATCTTGGAACAAAATAATTCTGTTCACTTCTTAAGAGGCTGTTGCTAGTGGGAACATTGCAAATGTTTATTTGTGTATCTTAAGTTTTGGAGGACAAAGAGCTTTTGAACCAATAGTTATACAAACTTTTAACAGTCAATCACTAGTGGAATAGAATTAGCTGCAGCCCCCTGGCTCATACCAATTTCCTGGGACAGCCACTTACATGGCAACACTAACTTTCAATGCACTAGATCACAATTTTAAACTACATCCCGATCCCTCAAGAAGTCAGCAAACACAGCCGCCTCGGGAAGTAAACGAGTCTCAAAACGAATTAACCCAACAGGCATTGGATGATTACACATGGGATTCTGGATGGCAAGGGCCAGACACACTGTTTGCCCTACAGTTCGGTAGCACAAAAGGCCAGTCAGGTCGCCTGGGGCTGGCACAGTAGCAAGGCCACTACTTGGGCGCCTCTCCATTCATGGTGGCCTCCTAGGAGGTTCGCTGGTAGTGCTGCACTGGTCTTAAAGTGGTCGCTCTCACTAATAATTTGTAGTCTCCTTACGGAACTTTCTTCCCGCTCCCACTGTCTCTCAGCCAGTCCTAAGGAGGTTCTGCAAGGCCGGTGTGGAAATCTCTTTCCCCGTTGCTCCCAGTTTCTCGCCACGATTAAAAAAAGAATTATTGAATTTTTGTGTATTTCATACAAAGCATCTTAATCATCTTTATATCCCCCTCCCCCATCCGCACACTCCTATAGCCCTCCCACCTTATTTCACGCGTTCTGCCATTTATGCTGAGGTCTACTGATTCAAGTTAGCGCACCCGGAGGTCCCTCCATGCAAGTTCATCCACTCGGGTCTAGTTAATCTAGAGTCACTCCCTTAAAGAAGATCAGCTGCCAATAGTTCCTGGGCTAAGATTGGGGCCTACTGCCCATTTCCCCAGTTCTATGATGGGTTTGTCCGTTTGAGTTCTCGCCACGATTAATACACTTAAGAACCTAGGACCCCACACGCAAGCTGACACTTCACACATTTGTCAAGATTACCATTAAAGCCCCACCTCTGCGACTGCGATATTCGCCTATAGGCTACATTCACCCATAAGTACAGCAGTTGTAAAATGTTCGGTAAGTTCCTCTGGCGGCTCTGGATTCCAGAGCTCACGCCAAGAGGCTGTAACTTTTGGTTTTTGATAGTTCGTGATTGCATTCTGATTGGCTTTACAAAATGCATTGGAATCTTGGTCTTTTTTTCTTTGCTTCGTGTCCACAGGCGTTCAGAGCTGTTCCGTACATAGCAGAGGCCGTGACAGTGGGGTGGCTGCACAGCAGCCGGGCCCGAAACCCAGCTTCATCCCTTCCCCCCAGCGACGCGCAAGGGAAGGGCGCGGGGCGCCGGGCCAGGACCGGTGCGATTCGTTCCGGTTTATCAAATCCTTATCGGTGCCCAGAGGTAGGAGCCTCGGCTTTGGACCGAAGGATACCCTGTTCCTGGCTCGGGTCCGAAAAAAGCCCATCTGCTCGGCGCTGAGTCCAGGAGCAGTCAAGCTGTCTCCCTCCAAGGCTCGTTCTTCCCGCGGATCCCCGCAGCTCCAGCCGTTCTGTCAGGAGCGCGTTCGATCCCCGCCACCCCACCCGCAGCCCAGGCTCTGCACAGCGGAGTTGGAAGTTCCGGCGCTTTGAGCCCCTCGGGTCCAGATGGGAGTAAAGAACCAGGCGGCCAGCCACGCGCGGGGGCAGGAGGCGAGGCCGTACCTGGGTCTGCGCGGCCTCAGAACGCTAGCAACTGCAGGAGGCGCGAGCGCAGCCCGAGTTGGCCGCAGTTGCTTCTCACCCAGTGCCGCCAGGTCCGCGAGGGCAGGCCTTGGTCGCTGCCCTTCTCTGTCCTCTTAGCAGGCAGACACCCGGAGAGGCGCGGTGTCCCCGTCCTCTCACTGCACAGCAAGGCACCTGCCCCCGCAGGACAATCCAGGTCACTACCCACTCTTTGGGGTCCGGGTGCGGGAAGTGGGGTTCTAAAAACTTGGATGCCCTCTGGAGCATGGGAGCGGGGCCCTCGGACGCGTCTCCGATTTGCGTCTCGCCTTCTGCCCCTTGCCATTCTGGGCACAGAGCCCCGCAAAGGACCGCGTTCCCAAGGACCCTGAGGGTCCAGAGGAAAAGAAAGGCGTGGCTGCTGCTCCAGCCTGGGAGCCCGGAGGAAGTTAAGGGCATCACCCCGCAAAACTTTTCAAGCTCCTGGCCGCGGAAGCTGGATGCCCAGGGACAGGGGAATCTGGAAAGGCGCCGCTGGAGCACCCCGACCTCCAGGGCCATTGCACTGCGTCCCTGGCTCTCCAAGCACGCCCGAGTTCGCGACTCTGGGGCCAAAGCCCAGCTCTGCGCCCCTGCAGCCGACACCTGCTCGCTCCCTCGGAACCCCCCGAGGCTTCTCCGCCGCGCGCCCGCCCGGCCTCGCACCTGCTCCCGCGCCGGCTCGGACACCCAGCTTACCTTTTCTTCTCCTTGTCAGCTGTCATTGTCGCCGCGGCCCTTAGGGACGCCGAGCACCTGGGTTCCTTAGGCGTAGGGGCTGTAGCCGCTGCCTTTGCTGTAGCCCTCGGCCGCTCCTGTGGCCCGGGCAGGTATGAAAGGTCCTTGGTGCTCGCAGGTCCGAGTGCCCCGCGCAATCAGGTGGAAGTTTGCGGACGGCTGTCTAGGTGCGGAGGAGGGGGGTGGAGAGGGGTGACTGGGAGGAACCTGCAGACAGAGGCGGGGCCGGGAAAAGGAATGGGCGGAGGTTGTCAGACTCCAAAAGAGAGCAAGCTAGAAGGGAGCCAAAGTTCCTTTTCAACCCCACGGCCCGAACAGGAGTTACGTTTCTGGGATTTGAAAAAAAAAAAAAAAAAAAGATTAAAAAAATAAAAAAGTGGTTCGAAGTGAGTGGATGGGAAGGAATCCGGGATCCGGGGCCTGGCGGGCCGCTGAGATGACCATACAGTCTCAGGACACTGCCGAGGATTGTACGGCCGCCTCAGGAGAGCCGGAGCCGTGCACGTGCAGCTCTCGAATGTCCGGCTGCCTCAGCTGCCAGCCCACTTTAAAAACTCCGATGGCCCGCCCGGGGGAGGGCGCGAGGGGCGAGCGCGCAGGAGGCGGGGCAGGAGGGGCGGGGCTAGAGGCATGGCCCCGCCCTTCCCGCGCGTGCTGCCTGCCCAGGCTTCCCACTGCGTTTGGGCCAATGGGGAGGCGCGGCTGCAGCCTCTGCCCTGACCCCGGTCCGCCCCGTTTCCCCTGTCGGCGCTCCTCCACCTCCCGCCAGCCCCGCCTCCTCCTTCTGTAGGTCCTGGACTTGTTTTTGAGGTCGTCGGGGTGGTGAGTAGCTTAGCGGGATTCGGCGGCAAGGAGAGGCTCAGTTTATGCCGGACTGAGCCTGCTACCCGAGTCCGGAGTGCGTCACCGCGCCGGTGTCCTCTCACCCGCACCGTGTCCTTGGAGCAAGGGCAGGACCGCGGGGGCGGAGGGTCCCGCGCCCGCTGCGGCGTCGCGCAGCGCCCCTGGTCCGTGCTGCCCTTCCGCATTCCTGACCTAGCTGTGTGTCCCCTCCAGCCGGTGGGGATAATTCTGAGGACCCGACGGCCGTGACCGCCTTGGCTGGCAGTGCGCTCTTTTTTAGCGGAGCGCAGCTGACCTTGCCTTCTTAGGAGAGACACGGAGACAGGTGTGGGAGAAACTAATCAAAATGATCAGGGCTGAATCGGCCCTGCCTTTCCTCACTCGGTTTATAGGTGGTTCACAGGGTTGTGCTGGGCTGGTCGTAACCATGGGAATGAGGGAGAGAAAGGCCTTGGAACCCTCTGGCCTGCCGCAGCCTGCTCTCAGTACCCCAGCATCACTGCAGAAGTCAGCCGGGTTCCTAGGGGTGAACGCACGCCCTCAAGTCACTGGATCTGGAGCCTGCCAGCTAAGCCTCCAGGGTTCGAAGAATAACGTCTCAACTGTTGCCGTGTTCATAACGTCAAAGGCATGAATGGGGAGAGTGGAAAAATAGATAATCCAGCAACCGGACACATTTTCTAGGATCCCGCACAGGAAGGCAGAACTCCTTCGGCACCACGCCGTTATCGTGCCTCTAAATGCTTTCTCATTTCCTACTTACCTTGCGCCATCCAGCAGGGAAATATCCAGAAGGAAAAGAGAAAGCCTTTAATTTTTAAAGCCTGGGGAAGGGCCCATGGCCTTCATGGATGTGAGTTGCAGAGAAACAAGCGTCACGAATTGTGCCACCCTGGGACCTGTGCTTCCCTCACTACCTTGCCCCAACATTTCCTGGTAAAATCATAAGCAGAAACGCTAGGAGGAGGTGTCTTAGGTTTATTTTAGCGCTATAATACGAAGTAAACAGGTACACAAGGAGGAGAGGGTACCATAGATTTTCAGGAGGCTTGGGAAGGCATGAATGGGGAGAGTGGAAAAATAGATAACCCAGCAACCGGACTCATTTTTTCATTTTTCTAGAAAAAATAGAAACACACCTGATGGAGATTTCAAAGACTGCTTAGTTCACTCCAAGACACTGGTGGTTGATTTCCAACTGGGCTTCTCCAACTAGCCAATCCTAATAGACCCATTTATTTGTCTTAATGAGAAATTCAAATTGGTAAATACAGTTATAATAAACTATGAGCGTATTTACTTCACTTGGAACTGGAGTAGTGGAAAATAATAAAAACCTCAAGCACATTGGCAGTTTCTTAAAAATATTTTATTTATCCTGGGTGTGGTGGTGCTCACCTTTGATCCCAGCACTCGGGAGGCAGAGGCAGGTGGATCTCTGTGAGTTTAAGGCCCAACTGGGCTACAGGGAGACCCTGTCTCAGAAGACCAAAAATTTTTTTATTATTTGTACTTTATGTGTATGGATTGTATAAATGCATGTAAGTACAGCCCTTCTGATCCCCTGGAACTAGAAATTACAGACAGTCGTTAGTCCCTTATATGGGTGCTGGGATTGGAACCCAGATCCTCTGCAAGAGCAGCCAGTGCTATTAACCACTGAGTCATCTCTGCAGCCCTGCATTGGCAGTTTCAAGGTACCTAAAATTGTATTCTACCAAAGCCCTTGAATTCCAGCTGTGCTTGGCAGTTGGCAAAGCAACACCTCTAATCCACAAGGAACTTTGGTAGGGTTGAGGTTGAAGGTTTGGGAGTTTCTTGTTTTAATGAGCAAAGGTAGGGTGTAGGGGTACAACCATGTGTGAGGGCCTGTGTTCAATCCCCATACATGTACACTACAAAAAGTAAGAGATTATCCAGGGACACATCAGCTGTATTACTATAGCTTCTTCCTCATGCCAGCATACCATCTTTCTAATTGGGATTTTGCCTTATAAATGAAAGGTGCCTCACTAAGAGAAACAACTAGACAGATTTTTGTGGAACTCCCAGTAAATAACTTTGAAGAGTCTGGAATTCAAGCACTGTCTGAGAGATTCACAAAAAACCTTGTATTATTCCCCACAAAAGATTTAACCTGGCCTTGCGTAGGGCAGAACCAGATAGCACAAAGATCTCTTAAGCTGTCCTCCAAGATTCAAGTCAACAACCTTTGCAAGAAGGAGCTGAGAGTGTGAGCCAGATACCAGCTGCTTTTAAGTTGTAGAGTCCATGGAGAACTAAAGGGGAAATGTTTTGAAAGGTGATGTTGAGGGAGAGGGAACAGGAACTGGGTCCCCTGGCTTTAGAGGGATGTCTCTAGAGACGTTGATATTAGGACCACAGAGGGCAGCAGAGGGCACCCATAAGCAAAGCTCCCAAGCTGCTTAAAAGGGGAACAAATTATCCCTCTCAGCAAATCTCCCCACCTGTCTCTCAACTCCCTACAGTGCTGATTGGAGTCAAAGGTTGTTATGCCAATATTAGGTCTTTAGTTTCCTCTCTTCTTTGTAGAATATCCCATAAAGAGGATGAACTATAGATAAGGGGTTAACCTCCAAACTTGGTAGGAAGCAAGCACTTGGGATTGTAGCAGGAAGGCAAGAGAATGATGATCTCAGCAGTCCTGTCAGAGTGGCAGATGTGGCCCAGGATGGGGTCGGAAGTCTGGTTGGAGTGGGCAGGACTTAGCAGAAGAAACTTTGGAAGGCTGGACTATTGCATGAGTGTTTGAAGACTTTTTGTGTTGTGGGGGTTAGGATTAAATTTTATTAATAATATGTACAGATTGACATGTAAGCAACTTGAAAAATCAACAACGTTCAATTCATTGTCATAATGAAATCAAGAGGAGGCAAAAGAGGCCCCTAGGACTCAGAATTCAAGTAGGCACTGAAGGTCACAAAAGTGCACTTGTCCTTGTTCTGTGTATACATAGTCTCATGTAATACCCACCTGGCCCCAGTCTGACCATTTAGTTGGTTTGGAGTTGAGGAGAACATGGGACTAACAGAGGTGAGAGGATGGAGCATCTGGCAGAGGCCATTGCTCCTCTTCCATTGAAAAATCCTTCTGAGTCACCCCTTATGATAGTTCATCTGCATTGTCAAGTAATTTAGAATCACTTAGGAGACAGTTCTGGGCTTGTCTGTGAGGGTGTTTCTAAAGAGGTTTAACTGAGGAAGGAAGACCCACCCTGAATGTGGGTGGCAGCATCCTATGAGCTGAGGTCTCCTGATGAACAAAAAAAGAAAAAAAGGAGGAATCCAGCTGACTACCATTCTGTCTTCCTGACTGCAGAAGGATACGGTGTGACTGTGCCTCATCTCCTCCCACCACTTAAACCACCATGCCTTCCCAATATGATGGATTGTTCCCCCAAACTGTGAGTCAGTGCAAACTCACCTAGCCCTAAATTGCTTTTGTCAGTTATCACAGTATCAAAATACTACTACTATACTACTACTACTACTACTACTACTGCCACTACTACTGCTGCTGCTGCTACTACTCCTACTACTACTACTGCTGCTGCTACTACTGCTATACAACTCTACCCACACACAGGCATAGTAAGTACTCCTAAACAGAGCCAATCCATTCTTCCTGTGACTTTCAAAGATCTATCTTTATTCTCTCTCTTGCCCTGAACTATGGTACAAAAAAAAATCCTACTCCTTTGCCTGGCTCCTGGCCAACATCCTGAGGTCATTTTATAGACATACACTATATATGCTTTTAAACATTATGACTTTTGGTCCACATATTCCGAATTGTCATTTCTAAAGGTGTTTTGTGATTTTTTATTAAGGGAAAGGGTCAAATTTTTTCTATTGGCATGTTTAAGTGCCTTCTGATAGAGTGATTTGTTCATAATCGATTCTAATCTATCACACCTGGATTGCCAGTGACTTAGCTATTGGCTTCCATTGCTAGGTCTAGGAGATTGCAGCAATGAGAGTTCTTGTATGTTTATCACCCTATCATTCAGTGGATAGTGAAGGAGTCATAGGATCATAGCTACTCTGCTGTGTTGCTTCAAGGACAACATAATGACTCAATCTGGTCTTCTGAAGAGGGTCAATGGTTCTCCTGGAGGACCTAGCCCATTTGCACACACACTGCATTTCTTAGATATGAATACGTATTTGTTTAACTTCTAAGACTTCAGAAATTGATAAACATATTTTAAGTGGTAATGATTCATTTTGTCTCCCCCTAAACTGTTTTTAAATTGGTAAATATATATAATCAATATACTCTTAAGATTTTAAAATATGGAAATTGAGGGAAAAATCATAGTCTAATTCTCTAAACAGCAGATTCAGCAAGAATTTGGTGGGCTAGGATAGGTAGAGAGGGAGTAAAAAGCAGTCCCAGCCATGTCTACCTCTAGGACCCAGAGAAGCCTAGCCTGTGCTGGCTGGGCTGGAGGCTGGTGTCTGGGACATTTGAGGTGATAAAGTGACTCCCATGTGAGAGGAATGGCCTGTAGGAAAGAAATGCCAGCCCCACCTTAGGAAAAAGCCTGAACAGACACTAAACTTCTCTGTCATGAATAATGATGACACTGGGCCAAGCAGCCAGGCCCTGGAGTCTGGGTGACCAAGAGTGGCAAAGAATAGGGGTCAGAAACATCCTCCCAGCCAGTCAAAGT